TGTCCAGTCCTGTGGTTAGAATTTGTAATTATTTCTTGAGATGCTGGCTAATAATTAGTGTCCTTCAGTGATCAGCACTCTCCCACTTCCAGCTACAGGAAAGATTCCCTCAGAAATGACACAAACCAGAGCTGTTTCATTTCATAAATGAGCAAAAAGGTCACAACTTGATGCTACAATCTGTTGATAAGACTAATGAACTTTTTAACTGTGAGATTTATAATGCATGCAGCAGCTTGCTACAGCGCTGTACATGGCATCAGTACCATTAATAATATACATTTACTGTAACAACAACCAAGAATGCAAGAAGTCAGGACAAGAAGGATGACACCAGAGTAGAAATCACCTGTGCACTTGCAGCCCGGGCAATGGAGCGGGGCTGTACACTGGGGTCACTTGCATCCCTGTGTGCAGAGTGCCTTTCCCTTTGTTTCCATCCTGTCTCTTTCCATTCCTCTGGAAGTTCAGACTAATTCACAAAGAGGAGGCTATTGCCAGGGTCTGAGGCTGGTTTCCAATTACTCTGCAATCCCCAGACTTCCAAGGGAAGCATATGAGAGAAGTGTGGTAGTTTACAAACAGGTGGACGAAGCAGACTTGTAAGCAATAGGAAACAAAACAATTCCATTCAGTAGGCTGGCTCTGACATAGTAGCAGGGCATGCTCATCCCCTCCTTCCTCTCTCTTGAGATACGAGATACAGACGGGTTAATACAGGGAGGCCTTGCTACGAGATAAAGGCTATTAGAGCAAAGCAAAGCATGCCACAGCCTTTTGCTTCTTTCAGTCAATTAAGTCAGTCAGCCAAGATCTACCATCATCTCTCTGCGAATTCAAATCTGATCCTGAAAAGATGCTTTTCCTGTTAAAATGTAAAAGATGCTTTTACATTTTACTGTAAAAGCAGCCTATTTCTGAGATTCCAGACACATTAACCTAATGTTGACCTTATACATCAAATTAAAAAGCAGAAAATAAAGCCACGTTTCTGCTTCTCCCTCAAAATAATGTTTCCTGGAGAAAGCTATTTTATTTAAAGCAGCATTAACGAAGAGCTTTTTTTTTTGGTGTAAGTGTCACATCTCCACACATCTTCCTGAACTGTCTCAGCTCTTCACTGTGGGCAGAACCCAACCATTGCAAACAGGGCCTGCCCTGCCTCCCGCCCCGATGTGTGCAAAGTGACTGCCTTTTGGTTACTTTTATCTCTTCAGAGATCCCGTGAGGGGCCCTCAGCTCTGGAATTTATTCCCCGCTTTGCTCAAAAACAACCTCTCATAATCTTTGACCTTCTGCGTAAGCTGTGAGGCCCAAATCCAAGGACTTGTTTTGGGAAAGGCATACAAAAGGTTGGCATTTGTGGGTGTGGTAGGGAAAGCATGTTGTCAACAGCTGATTTAGCCCTTGGTTTATAATTTCCTCACATTGCGGCAGTTCTGCAGTATGGCAGTGTAAACTTAACCAGTAGAGACTTGAGCTTTCTTAAATGGTCATAAATTGAAAAACAAAAATGCATTGAAACCAACCGGTGTGTGAATGATTGTGCGTTTGTGAACAAAGTGACCTTGCAAACAAGTACATCATAAGTCACTTTTGCTAAATGGATCCTTCCAGCCTTGCAAATCATGCAAGTTGTGCATGTATTCTCGGAGTACCATCAACATACGCAAGCTAAACGGAATTGTTGGGACTGCTGATAAAGGAGTGAATAGCACTCTAATTAGCTGAAAATACGTAAAATACAGCCTTGGCAATGACGCAACTGAAAGGCTGGCAGCAAAAATCTATTAAAACAGCACTACTATGCCATACTACTAAAGTTCTCATCTATCACCTTTAAATATTTTAATTTGAGATTCATTAAAAGCTGTCTCTGCTGCTCTTACTCTTTGGATATAAACAGATTTGTTAATATTTTATTTCGAACCCACCCACGAAGTTACATTCATTTACATAACTTATTGAAAGCTGCATTATTCATTGAACTTCTCATATAACATTTTTCATAAGACATTATTAAACAAGTGAAGCAAGCTGGTCTAGTAATGAGCCTTCTCTAAACTTGCTGCCAGTTATGTTTCCTTTCTCCTAATCTATCACTCTAATGGTTGCAACTAATAAACTTTTCGAATCTTTGCTGCTAATCTGTATATGTTTTGCATTGCATGCTGGATGTATAACTTGACAGAGAATTTACAATACAAACCACCTGGCAAACAAAACTATCTGCATTGACAACGGCTATCCAAACCTAGCCACTCTTTTTTGTTATAATGGAGAAGACAACTACATGTGACTTAGTACATTTAAGCCATAAATAACATAACCCATTTGGGACTGGAGTGTATCCTACAAAGTAGTATGTCCCAAACACAGGATTTGTGACTACCCTTTATATTGCAGAAGCGTTACCAGAAATCAATAGGAGCATTACCAAGAATGAATAGATTGAACTTTAACTTATGCGAATGTACAGCAGAGACACAGTATTGCATAGAAGAGACTGTTCCAACAAAGATCTGTGTAACAATTACAAGGCAAAAACTTTAGGAATGGGTGGCTTGCTTAATTTGGGACCAATCCAAAAGTAGCTGGATTTTCAAGAATCCTCAGCAGTGCAGCTCTTTGAGATACACAGCATTATTTGAGTGTTTGTAATTCACAAAAAAAGGAACATTAAAGTGCAGACTTAGGGGTCCATTTTCATGCACATTAATTTTTAACTGTACTGGGCCATACTCTTTCATCAGCACCCACATTGAAAACTAATGCCAACATGCAGAATTAACACAGCACAGCAGCATTCTGTTTTCTAAGCTAATTAGATACAGATCTATAAAACCAGTTTAATAAACTTCCCATGCCCTTTAGGTGGGCAAGTGCTTCTTGAAAGCCAAGGTTGGAATATTTTACATATTAGGAAGCATTTTTCTTGGTACCCTTCTAAAACTCATTCTAAATCACTAACCAGATGAAAACATGAAAACACACAAACAATTAAATGGGGTAGAAAGAAAGGCAACTGTCTGTCAGTCTCATTTTGCAAGATCCAAGAAAAGACTCCTGTAGAAAAGACAAAACAAACAAAAAATAAAAAACATTAGAAAAGTGCAAAACCTTGATGTCCCTTCAATGGGTGCTTTAATGAACCAGAAGAGAAAGAAATCCTTTCTTGTCTTGTCTGCTGAAAGTAATATGACTGTTTTTAAATTCTACTAGGACAAAATGAAATAAATTTGATTAAACAATTAAAAAAATCAAGCAACACTGTTTTATTTCCACTGAAACTATAGTGTTTGTTTGCAATTTTTTTCCTTGCTCATATAACCATTTTCAAGTCAGCATTACCTGTCCTAGCCTGATCTGGAAATACTAATGCCTTTCAACCAGGAACTGATTTACCCAGTAGCATTCCTCAATGTCAGTTCACACCAAAGTCATTCTTTGATGTCATTTTATCCGAGGATAGCTATAACTACATGCTGTTAACAAGAACCACGCATCAAGCACTGCATGGAGACTTCAGAAACTCTTAAGTGCTTGGCTGCTGCAACCTTAGCCCATGGCTGCCCAGCACTGCTGGGTGGGTAGAGCCATGTAACCATGGTAGAGCTCACCTGGGGCTGGGCTGCACACCCACCCTGCCACATACAGCTGCTCGGAGAGATTAGCAGGGCTGTAAAACCTGCTCAAGAAGTAGGGCAAATATTTTAGCAATTAGCCCACACTGAGCCCTGCATTACTGCAGCTACACTGCTACCAGTTTTGGGAGTTGCTTGTTGAAAGCTAGCTCCTGGATGCCTAAATTACACAGCAGTGACAGACCATTGAACTCTAAGGATGAATTATATGGGGGCAGTGCCTAACATGGGTTATGCTGTCATGATTTACAACAGCTGAGGATGTGCCCCCAGATGTTCAGACAAAATCAAATTAATTCTATGATCCTTTTTTTCTCCAAACATAGAATCCTTGCGACTCTGAATGAAAAATATAAAAGGAAACAGGGAAATGTATGGAAGATAACAGTCTTATACCATTACATAGGTATGTATTCTCCAGAGACCACTAGATTCTCATTCTTTATAAAAACAAAGTGTAAGCTAAAAGAATGAAAGACCATTCAAGACATTCCCACATATGAAGAACTTTAGTTGAGAATAATAAAGCATTTCTAAAATATTAGCTCCTATCAGGATCTGCAGGATGTTGTCACATTAACAAGGACAATGTTAAAGAATACCAAAGCAAGAGATTTACTGTTCTCTAGACTTCTGGATCATCTCCAAATTGGGATCAGGGTTTGCAACTTTCTACTACTACATTGGTGATAAATGGGTCTTAAGCTGAGATCATTGATCAAATGCCTGAAGAGCATTAATTGTACAGGACACTGGCACAGTGAAAATTATTTAACATTCTAACCTAAATACTGCCAAGAAGACCTAGGCACAATCTAAAATGAATGTCTCTTTCATTTTAAGACTACAGCAGCTATGCTCATCTTTAAATGGAAGTCATACATAAGGTCTTGTATGAGAAGTTTGTGTTTGAAGCTAGCATTTTAAAAACATATCAAATATATCATAGAAACATCTCCTAAAATAAACCCCAACCTCATAGGGGCAATCAAAAAGCTGCAGTGATTTTGATCAGCTTAACACCATCCATAATTTTGACCTTGGGAGACCATAATGAAAAAGTGAGCTACAGAAGCAAAAGAAAAAAAAATTACATGTTTCTAGAAGTGATCATGACACCAAATTACATGAGTTTACTTTGTAGATGTTTATAGAGCTACCCAATGTTGTTTGACTTTTGAAGGAAGACTAATCGATGTAGTAATGGGGCAGTGGGAGGGAGGGGGGGGCAGGAAGGCAGAAAAAACCTTATGGTTAAGTCAAAACAGGGGTCATGCCCAGGGCATTTTATCTGCCCTGCTTACACAGCCCTAGGGAATTGCATCTCAACAGTTGATTCCCTGTTAATCAATTCACATTAGTGCCTGCCTTTTAGTTTTCACTTTGCTGAATTCCAGGAAAGAAGTTCTTAAACCAAATGTACACTCCATCTCTGACCTACGCAGAACTGTTGCATTTTAACAAGAAATCATAGCAGATTTTATTTGCTCTAACAGCTGATAAGAGACACCTTTGTAAGTAAAGGCTCATGGACTGCAGACTCAACATAGAACAAGAGCCAGTGCTCTGTTTATACAGGTCAGCAGTAACACAGGAGGAGAGAACCTTCATGGAGTTTTTTTCTCCCTACCTGTTTTCTCCAGTTCCAGATAAACACTCGTGTTACATGCTGTTCTTCTGCTTCCCTTTACTTCCTTATTTACTATGTCTCAACATTATGATAAAGAGACGCATAGCAGTTACTGTCATATCACAGTGCTGAAACAGTTTACTGTGCACAAGTGAGAAGCACATGTGGGGCAAGAGGGTAGGGGAGAGGTGTGAGCATAAAAACAGCAAACAGCATATCCACAAAAGCAAGCCTGATTGATATTCAAACCCTTTAGACTCATTTATCTGGCTAAGCTACCCTCTAGTACGTAGGCAGATCTTCATACAGAGGATCTTCAAAAATAAACTTTATTATCAAACTTAAAATTCACACATTAGACATGAGGTCTAGACACAAATAATACTGAAAACCTCAAACCATAATGATTTAGATAATTTGGATGATAGCTACTTGCCGTTGTTCCAAATGCCTTTGAGAATATTTCTGAATGCATACACCATGGTGAAATGTCTTGTCAAACATGTATCTGGCCAGCTTGCAGTAAGATTTTTAAATAGGGAAAAACTTATTTCTATAGAAATAAAATTATCTAATTATGAATCAGCGACCCATAATTGTAGTGCTTGGGGAAAAAAATCATAGCCTTTTGAAATACTTAGACATAAATAACTACTGTACATTTACAAGTTTAAATATTTAAAGGCCTTCGTTACAATAAAAAGTTACTATGTACATATGAGATGTTATACTGAAATCCAGCCGGAGGGAAGCGTTGAGCACTCAGATTTGGCCGCTGAAACCTATGAATTTGGCAGGCAGATTGTCCACAGGGTACACTATGGGGCCCGTTTTCATTGTAGGAGGTCCATTTAGCAGCTGCCAGTCACAGCTTCGCGCCAGCTCCACCGTAAATATTTTTAGAAGGACTTTCGCAAACTCTTTGCCTACGCAGCTCCTCAAGCCCCCACCAAAAGGAATGAAACTGAACCTAGAGGAGTCCTCTGGAGACGGAGACATGAAGCGGTCTGGGTTGAACTCATCCTTGTCAGTAAAGAGATCGGCCACATCGTGGGTATCACAGATACTGTAAATAACGTTCCAGCCTTTGGGGATCTGGTATCCCTACCAAAAGAAGAGAGAGGAGACATGAAGCACACTGTTTTGTTAAGGAAGCTGAAGATTCAGCATGTGACATGCAGGTGCACCTTCTGATTCCCCCCACTCACTAAGGCAGGTACCTACAGAAGCACATTCATACTTGGCAGTGCTACGAGGAGCTGAGCCCCAGCCCTACTTACATTCAGCTCAAGTGTCTTGAGTGCTATTCGGAATCCTCCAGGAACGGGAGGGCTCAGCCTGAGGGTCTCCTTGATAACACAGCCTGTGTACTTCAGCTGCTCCAAGACCTCCATGTCCAATTGCTTCTCTTGGTTGGGACCAGACAGTAACCCCTAGGTAGGAAGATGCTGCCATGACATTTATAGAACAGGCTCCATGCACTGCAAGACAGCTGTCCCTCAGCAAATGGTATTTCCCTACCCTCCTATAAGTAGGGAACCTCCTATGTCAAGGGGAACCCATCCTGGGACACCTCTCTGAGCCACCTTCCTACTGCCTGCTCATGGGAAGTGGCTGTGGAAGACACTCACCTTTACTTGCAGCTCCTTCCTCACTTTCTGCAGAACATCATGGTGGAGCCCCAGGAAGGCGATCAGCGATGTGGCAGCACTGGCAGTGGTTTCATGGCCCCCAAACAGCAGCTCTGTGGCAGACTCCTTCAGCTCCTTACTCACAGGACAGGAGAGAGAAAATATGCCTTGAGGGTGGTATCCCCATTGGGCCCACTCCACCACCAATGCGGCTTGGTGATCTTAGGCTGGAGCGGGCACCCTGGAGCCAGAGTGGGAGGTGGTCCCCACAAGCACAACCCTACACCCCTCATCCAGCAGCCTGGCTGCATCCTTTGTCCCCAGGACTCTCATGCACTACACAGGCTGCTTTATGACCTGGCAAAGGGACAGCAACTCCTGCTCTCCGTTTTCAGTCCCGAAGATAAACACGCTGCTGACTGAGGGAGAGAAGCAGGGTGGGAAGAGATGGATCTGGAAGGGGGGAACCTCACCTGCATATTGAGCTGCTCTCCGTTACCCTGTGTGTGCTCCATCAGCAGCTGCAGCGCGTCCTTGTAACCACTCTCAGGCTCCTTGCGGGCCATCTTGGCACGGATGTTCTCCTCAATCTTGGCATGGATGATGTTGCGTGCCCTCAAGCCCTGTGCAAGCAGGGGGAGAGGGAGCTGGGACTTGTGCCACCCCAGCAACTTACGCCATGCTGCCAACTTACACCACACCGCCATCCCTCCCTGCTGCTCTGGGAGCACCCCTAGCTGGCCTGGAGCCTCACCCGGTAGAGCCCACTGAAAGGCACATCGATGGGGAGGGAGAATAGGTTGCGGATCATCTCCTCGAAGGCCTCCACCAGCTGCTGCTCGCTGTCAGGGCCGGCCTGGCGGGGCTGGAAGCCCAGCAGGATGCGCATGGCGATGCGGAACATGAGGCGCTTCACCTCAGGGTACACCAGCAGGCAGGGCCCAGCACCCAGCCACTGTGCCAGGCAGGCACTCACCTCCTCTTGGATGACGGGCACATAGTGCTGCAGGGCGTCCCGGGAGAAGGCCCGCATGATCACCTGCCCAGGGGACAAGGAGGAGAAGGAGGAGTAGAGGAAGGGGATACAGGCTCAGCCACCACATGCAGGACAGCTGCCCCGTTCCCAGCCCGCCTTTGAGGCTGTACCTTTTTGCGGTGTTTGTGCTGCCCATTGTGGAGGTTGGAGAGGCAGCCCGAGCCCAGGATGGTGCGCACCGAGGCGGGCCACTGCACGGAGACCAGGCGGTGCTCACCCAGCAGGATGTGCCGCACATTCTCGGCGCCCATCACCCGCACCGTGGGCCGCCCGAAGAGATGAGTCTTGTAGATGAAGCCGTATTTCCTGCGCTTCATCTGCAGGAATTTCCGCCGCTGGACGGGGAAGGGAAGTAAGTAAATTGAAAAAAAATAAATAATTTTTAAATAAATAAATGGGGGTCAGGGGAGAGAGAAGACAAAAAAAAAAAAAAAAAGAGAAGAATGAGCTCATCCACACCTGAGCTCAGAAGCCCGGCGCAGCCCTGCTCAGCCTCGTCCCTTGCGGGGAGAGGGGAAACTGCCCGCCTTACCTGCAGCACCATCTGCAACGTCTCCCCAAAGAAGGGGAGCCCCATGGTACCCGGGGGCAACGGCAGCGGGCAGCTGGGGTCGCGGCCGCTGGCGCAGTACAGGTCCCAGAGCCGAACGGCGGCCAGGAAGAGCAGCAGGGGCAGCAGGAAGGTGCACAGGGCGCTGGCGACCAGGGCGGAGAAGCCCATGGTGGGGCAGCGGGACAGCGAGCCGAGCCGAGCCGAGCCGAGCCGAGCCGAGCCGAGCCGAGCCTAGCCTAGCCTAGCCTAGCCTGGTCCGGTCCGGCCCGGCCCCCCGGGAGCTCCGAGTGTGCAGCCCGGGCTCTCCGCGGGCCGTCTTTTATACCCTTCCCAGGTTGCTGCCCACCCTACCTTACCATCCGATAAATTAGTTCACCCAAAGTTCATCTTTAATTGCGGATTGCGGCCTGGCTCCTCCCCCCGAAATCTTTAACCGTTTGCTTTGCGCGGCACATCTCGCCCGCTGCAGACGGCCGCCGGGCAGACGGACGGGGTGCTGCAGGACCAACCGCCCCTTCGGATTTACCGCCGCACTCCTTGGGGACCGGCAGCACCGAGGCGGAGACGTGCCCCGTCGCGGCGGCACGGAGCCTGCCGCCGGGAGGTACCCACCCTCGGGGCGCTCCCAGCCGCCATGGGTCTCCGTCGCCGGCCCTCTCATCGCCCATCGGGACCCCTTGGTAGCCGGGCTGAGGGCTCCCCGGGCAGAGCCGCGTCGGCGGAGGTGGCTCCGCCGTCCCCCGGCTCACCTCGGAGGGCCCGGCTCGTGTTTCTGCCCGGTCTCGGAAGAAGGAGCGGCGGGCAGCGCTCCGTCTCGGCCTCCCGATGCAGGTTCAACCGCGGGTCACCGACGGAAAGGGAGGTGAGCGCGGAAAGGGAACACCCTGCCCGCTGCGCTCGGCTCCGATCTCCGCTGCCCGCCCTCGCCCGGGGCTCGCCGGGGCTACCGCGGCCGGGGAGAGGCGTTCGGCACGGCCGTACCCGCCGGGCGGGCTGTACTCCCCTCCGGCGCAGCCCCGGGGTTCGACGTGCGGAAGTAGCGCGGCCCCGGGGCTGCAGGAGCTGACCCCGATGGGCTCCGCTGGGGCCCGTGCAGAATAAACTCCGAAGGACGCCGCCGCCGGGCATTGCGGGGATGCGGAGGGAAGGATAAGGCTGCGGACCGCTCCGCAGCTACCAATAAACTATCGTGATCGCTTCCCTTTTATCCCTCCATTTTCCTATCCTTTTTACTTTTGCTTTCTTACTCCTACCACGACCTCAATAAATGCTGGAAGTTGCGTGTGTGTGTGTTTGTGTCTACAGGGGTGGTGGCGCTGGCGAGGCGTCATTTTAAATTAGTACTTTTCTGACGCTCGGCGCGCCGGACGGGACCTTCCCTCCCCCCCATGTGGCCGCCCGCCCCTCGCAGCCCCTGCCCGGGCGGACCCTCGGGGCAGCCCTGCGGCGCTCGGCCCGGAGCGGCGGCCGCGCCCTGACCCGGCGCTCTCCCCTCGCCGGGCGCTGACCCGCTCGTGACCTACAACACGGACCGTGACATCTGCGTGAACCCGGCCGGCAACCGCGCCAAGTTCACTGTCTGTCAAAATAACGAGATACGGTGGCCTGAGCACCGATAATTGCCGCAGGAAGGCTTTATTATCTCCCCAGCTGTGTATTCCGCAGCCATCGGCTCGAAAAGAATCAAATGGTAAAGAGTGAAAGGGATAATTAAAAACATCTTGGAAGGAGGTCAAGAAATTAACAGCCTAATATGAACAAACTTTGATTACAAGTAACAATTATTACACTTCATTTGTAAATGCTCATGTTTATCTGAAAACAAAATCAGTTTCGTGTCTTTTTTTTTTTAACTAGATCTACGTTACACGTTTCAGTGGGCGGCTGCGGGGCTCGTTAGCGCTCGGGGTAATTTTTAAGTGCGCTGATGGAGGAACCCTGGCGCTCCCATGGCTGGAGCCCACACGTCCCTCATGTCCCCCAGGTCACTGCCACACTGGCGGCCTCGCAGCAGTCACCCAGTTCCACCTGCAGCCACCACTTTCCTTCCGATAGCCAGGGAGATGCACTTCTCAGGACAAGGTCAGGAGGGGCAGAGGCTCTGGTTCACAATGGGGTCGAGCTGCCAACAGCACTTAACTTAGTCCCGTGGTTCAACCTCTTCCAGATCTGACTCGCCACATTTGGGAGCCACATTTTTGCCCCAGGCAGTACTGCACCCCGCTGCGTGCCCCAGCATAGATGTGTGATGGAGACCAGCCCAGGCAGGGTGGCTTTTAGCCTGGCACTGACACCAGACATTCTGGCACTCAAAATGTGCCACCTGAAAATGTGTCCCCAGCTCCTGGGCTCAGCCTCAGGTACCACTGCAGTGCCCTGGAGCCACCAATCAGTGCTTACACATAGGGCAGTGCTAGGGCAGGGCCATGGCTGCCCTGTGACAGCCACCATAGCGCTATGAAGATGTCCTTCCACCATATGCCAGCACCAGCAGGAGCACAGGATGTGCCCTCACTAAGCAGACCTGTTCAGAAATGAACATTTCCCAAACATTTATTCATGACAGGTCTGTGCCCCGTGCCAGGCTGCTCTCTGCATCCTGCAGGAACTCGGGATAAGGCTACATGTCAGGCCCCAGGCAGCAGTATGGCACTCAGGCACTGCACGCACAGCCACTGGGTCAACAAATGTCTCATTTGTGGTGGCCCTAATAGGAAGTGAAGGAAAGAGATGAAATATTTACAATAGAAACCTCTTGACACAGTTATCCTACCTAGAGCTAATACTGTGAATTGGGCAGACCTAGCGTGTGTTTCCCTGCAGAGCCCTCATCTTCCCTCTTTTCCACTTCTAGAAAGCTGTGCTGTGCAGGACAGTGTGCAGGACGGGGTGTGCAGGATGCTCTTGCCTTTCCTTCACACACCCGTGAGAGAAAGCCCTGCGGCAGGAATGGGGCTTTGCTCCTGGGAATGTGTGTGGGGCTCGGCTGGTGGGGGTGAGGCTCCCCTTGGTGCTCAGGGCTCAGGGACCATTCCTAATGCACTGAGCATCAGAAAGGGGAAAAACAAGCCTTTGGGGCTTTGCTCTGTAGTGCCTCAGCCATGACCACCGCCACCGGGCTGAGCTCAGCATCCTGGCTCAGGCCTCACCGCCACGACGGGGCTGCAGGGGGTGAAAGTAGAGCTGCAGCCCATCGACGGGGTGCACGATGGGCACGGTCTGCATGGCGGGGAAGGTCGGCGTGGCCAGTTCCCAGCGGGCCGTGGTGACCAGCTCGATGGCCAGCAGCTTCAGGATGGCCTGCGCCAGCTCCTTGCCGATGCAGCTCCGTGCCCCACCACCAAAAGGGATGTAGTGGAAGCGGCTGGCAGCCTCCGGCTGGGTGACATTGAAGCGGTCAGGATCAAAGCCACCTGGGGGGCTCTGGTAGATGGCAGCCGTCTCATGCGTGTCACGGATGCTGTACATCACGCTCCAGCCCTTGGGGATCTGGTAACCCTGTGAGAGGAATAGAGGGGAGAGTTAGGGCCCAGCGGAAGCACCTGGGGGCAGCCCCCCTTCTCCCTTTTCTGCAGGCACTTACATCCAGCTCAAAGGTCTGTAGTGCAGTCCTGTACCCCCCAGAGACAGGCGGCAGTACCCGCAGCACCTCCTTGACCACGCAGTCCAGGTAGCGCAGGCGGCTCAGCTGCTCCAGGCTGATGTCCGAGGGGCAGTGGCAGCCCCGGGGCTGGGGGCTGCTCAAGGGGTGTGTGGGCTCCAGCGGGGCTGGGAGATGGGGGAAGCAGCCACCCCCCAGCTCTGTCTCCTCAATGGGGTCAGGTGGCTGGTTCTGGTCCTCATGAGCATCGCTGGCTGTGCTAAGGAGTTGCTGCTTGCCGTCCCTGCCTGCTGCTGGGCAGGGTGCCAAGGGGCAGTTTTGCTGGTGTGGGTACAGCTCATGGGATGCCAGTTCCTGACGGATTTTTTCGATTGCTGAGGGATGCTTTAGCAGCAGGAGGATGAGGGAGGTGCTGGCACTGGCCGTGGTGAAAAAAGCAGCAAATATGAGCTCGATGGCTGACTCCTGGCAGGGAAGGAAAGTGACAAGTTTGAATGCCACTTTGAGCTTGTTGTGATAGGATTTTCAGACTGTTCTCAGCTTTCACAGGTTTTGTCCCTGTGCAGAGAGCCCTACCTCTGCCTCCATTCTCTACAGCCTGCAACCCCCAGTGCTGGCAGGGATCTGTATGTGACATATCCATGCTCATCCACCTCCACACAGAGCAGACATCCACCTGCCTAGGAACTGATGCCAAAACAACTAAGCACACATCTCTTCCATTCTGGCTCTTCTCAGCTTCCTGCCCAAAATTTACAAATCTTAACAAGAATTTCAACATCCATTTTATCATAAAGGCTGAAGTTCACTTTAAGCATTATGTTTTTTACCTTCATCAACACTTTCCCCTGCCTCCCCTGCAGCTTTTGCCTCTCTGGCCAGCCAGGAGCAATGAGGTTGCAAGTTTATGTACAGATCACACTGGCAGCTAAAATGGGCTCCATTCAATCCATCTTGTTGTAATTGACCATTTGCTTGTGTAGGAGGGCACTCAGACCAATGCTCAGAAGCAGAAAGTTAAGAGTTACTGGAGTTAGGTCTGGAGGGTGAAGCCAGAAGCACAGGGAAGGACACCTGATCTTAAGTCTCCTGGAGCCAATTCTGGTAAGGTCAAGAGTAATGCAGCAAAGATTTGCAACCATCACCAGCAACATAAGTTGTCTGGACTGCAGGCTTTTGCCAAAATGCAGCTCTCAAGGGCATTTTTCAGGTGAAATAACAGGTCCCTGCTGACCCCTGCATACCTCCTGCAGGCGGCAGCAGGAATCTTTACACCCACAAGACAGCAGACACAGATGAAAATAAATCTGTGAGTTCCACAGCTTGCAATTAAAAGCCAGGACATTACAATATAGCACAAGAAAATTAAAGCAGGCTCTGTATTTTGAAATAATAGCCCTTATGACTGCCTGCATCAGCCTCTGATGGTGCTGCCATGTAAATTGTGACACTGAGAAGCTTACTTTCTCTCCCTGCTATTACAGTGCCAACACAACCGGTGACAGTGAGGCTGCGTTCTCCCACTGCTGCCTCGGTGTGTTCCAGTGCTGCAGCTCAACTGGGAGCCGGACCACTGAGCCGGGGACAGCCAGCCCCAGGTCACTGCCATGTCACCCCACACTGTCTTCAATATCTGTGTATTCCTGCTGTTGTCATCTCACCTGTCGTCAGAGCCAGGAACACGATGAGAGGTCATGTAGTTATTCTTGTGCAATACACACATGAATACTCACAAAGTTCAATCCAGACTAACTGATCACATTTTGAGTCTGGGAATTAGTTTTAGTTATCTTGAAATAAACCAGTTCTAATTGCATCTAAGAACCTCTGTAATGTCTCCCAAACACTTCAGAATTTGGAGATTACACTTCTACAAAATATGTACGAAACATTTAGCATTGGATCACTATCCTTGAATATCTAAATAAACAGGAAAGCCATGTGTCCTGTATGTTTAAACTGCACCCATGCAAAACTGCTTCAAAACTTGCCACGTAGATGCAGTGTCATGTCCCTGCCTCACCTGGAATGACCTGGAGGTATGAATGATGCAGCACTAACGACAATTTTTTTTCCCAAGACCTTTGGCAAGGTGCTCTTCACCGCATTTTGTCCCAGTGAGGACTGCTGGGTTCATCCCTAAGTCACAGCAATGAATCATATTGCATCACACAGTCCTCAAGCTCCTCAGTGTAATTAATAAGGAGATGATAGGGTATGTCCCAGAACCCATCATTCCAGCCCAGAGCCCGTTTTGATGAGTTCTCTGGGCTCCCAGCCTTGAGGAATGGAAATGGAGTGATATGATCTACAAGCACAATGCCCTGGGTGCAGCTCTATGTATTTCCAGGACAGCATCCTGGAGGTTATCGAGTGCACACTGATGTACAGAATCTGAGCACAGCCATGTAAGTCTAAACGCATCTTAAGCCAGGTTGAGGCCAGATGCCTGTGAAGAGCACAGGCAGAGAGGCATTTGTTTCCATTTTAGGCTCCAGCTCTGTTGTAAGGCAGAGCCCCACCAGCAGTCCTGCACAGCCCTCTCCTGCCACCCCTCCGCCCCACGCTCACAGCCACCGGCTCAGGAGGGAACTGCGCGGGGCTGTGGTTACCTTCAGCTCCTGCATAGTGAACTCTTTGCCGTGCTCCTTGGCACTGTTTATTATGAAATCCAGAGCATCGCTGTGTTCTTCTGACATGGCTCGCTGCAGTTTCTCCTGTATGGCCCTCTCCATGAACTCATGCAGCATGTCCCGTGCTTTGATGCCCTGTGGGAGGCAGACACGGGTCAGGAGAGCCTTGGGCACATCCCCCTCTCTGGAGAGGCTGGGGACTCCCACTGTGGTCATCTTTAATTCCAGAATCTGCAACAGCAAAGCGGAGTTAGCCCACTGCCAGGCCCTGGGGCCTTGCAGCAGGCAGCAGGTTGTGAGAACTGCTGAGGATTCATTGGCTTCCTGCTGGGAGTCAGTATAAGCCCTAGGAAAGGCTTTGGGATGAGTTGACAGAAGCAAACTTGTGGGACTGAATCCAGAGAGGTCTGCACCAGACAACTCCTGGCCTGGCCGGGTCCAATAGGAGCCTGTCCCGTGGAGAGGGTGAGGTCACTTAATGAAGACGAGCCCTGGAAACAAGGCACTGACAGTGACAAATGAGGGGATTTTCCAGATTGGGAACATGTTAATCACGCCTGGCTAATCTCTGGCTGTGCAGCAAAACCAACTGAGGAGCAATGTCCTTGCAGAGCAGGAATGGATGGAGGCAGGAGGCCTCCAGTAAAGCTAGAAGGAACAGGTGGTTGGGGGCAGAAATGGCCACAGCCAGCAGCTTGGAAGTAGTTACAAAGGAGAACCCAGACAGGAAGGACTTGAGTAAAGGAAAAGGGGCAGTGAGCAGGAGAAGGTGAAGAGATTGGTCTGGGGTCAGACTGGCCATGGCTGAGCTGAGAAGGCAGGAAGGGACAGGTGGGTGGTAGAAGCTCACGATGGTGACAGTGGGGATTGGTGGGGAAGGTGATGGCAAGCAGAGTTCATAGAGGAAATGAAGTTGGGCAATGCCTTGATGGAAAAGGCAGGCAGTTTGGGCTGTGGAACCCAAAGCCAGATGAGGAAGAGCAGATTGAAAAGGGACAGGTGGCAAGAATGGGCAGGGCAGCAGAGAATGAATGGAGACTATGAGAGGCAGAACGGGCTGTCCCACTGCCATGTTCCCCTCCAGCACTGCACCAGGCACCAAAAAGGGGTCTCCAATGCTCAGCCTGCCCAAAGTGCACAGGGAGGTTCCTCTGTGCCTGCTGCTTTCTGCTCACACACAGACCTCTGCCACAAGTGGGATTGAACCCAGGAGGAATGCAGTGGCACAGCAGCAGGCATTGGGTAAGCGTAGCTGAGGAAAAGGCTCCAGCCACGCATGTGGCAACTCCATGCTGTACCAGAGTCTATGCAGGCAGGTGCTGGAGGCACCCAGCAGCAGGGTGGGCAGTGCCCTGGACTCATAGGGGTGCCCCTTGTCAGGCCTGAGGAAGGGGTCTTTGCAGCCACAGCCTGGCCCAGCCACGGGCAGGAGCGGGGCAGGCAGCAGTACCTTGCGCAGCCCGCTGAAGGGCACATTGAGGGGCAGGGAGAAGAGGTTCTCCACCAGCTGTTCAAAGGTTTTGGCCAGGTCCTTGAACTGCTTTTCCTCCAGACGGAGTCCCAGCAGAATCCGAGCTGCAATGCGGAAAGTTAAGGTTTTAGCAGAGGAATAAACGGCGATGGAGCCCGGCTGCATGCACCAGCCCCGCAGCTCCCAGCTCACAACCTTCTGAATCCGTGGCAGGTAGCTTTCCAGGGCAGCGCGGCAGAACACTCTGGCCAGGATCTAGAAGCAGAAGGGGGGAAACAGAGGCAGGCGGTTAAAGCACAGGTCCTCCGCATGGTGCTGAGAGCTGAGCATGGGCAGGAGTTGCCCAGCCTCGCACCCATGGGGCTCACCTTGCGGCGCTGGCGGTGCAGGTCGCCTGTAGAGCTGAGCAGGGTATGGGAGCCTAGGAGGATCTGGGTGCTCTGGGGCCACTGTGCGCTGACCAGTGTGTGTTCGCCCAGCAGGATCTTGCGGACGTTCTCAGCACCCGTCACCCGCACCACCGGGCGGCCCAGCAGGTGGGTCTTGAACACGTTGCCGTAGCGCTCCCGCCGGGAGCTGTGGAAGCGGGAGCCCTGGGGACGTGCCGTGAGTCAGCTCGGGGCTCCCGCCGGCCCCCGTCCCGTCCCGTCCCCTCCTGTCCCGTCCCATCCCCGTCACCCCGCACCTCACCTGCAGCAGCCAATGCAGGGTCTCCCCGAAGAAAGGCCAGCCCATGGAGCCCTTGGGCAGCGGCAGGGCGTTGGTACGATCTCGGCTGAGGCTCCAGCGCAGCGCCCACAGGTGCCGACACAGGGCGAGCAGCAGCGCCAGGAACAGCAGCGCCAGGGCGGCCGCCGCGGTCCAGCAGAGCCCGGCCGGCATCCTCCCTCCTGCGGCGCACCGCGGGTCCCGCTCCCTGCCCCGCGCCGGGAGGGCGGGGAGCGGCGGCGGTGCCCGCCCCGGCGGCTGCCACCCGCGGGGCCGAGAAGGAGACGGCGAGCGGAAAGGCCCTCCCGGCTGCGGCTGCGGCCCGCCCGGCCCCGCTCGCCTCCTGCACCCGCTTCTCCCTTCGGCCACATTTATATAGATATTGGCCACTTAACGCCCGATCCACCTTCGCAGATGACGTCTGCCCTGCATATTTAAGCAGCGCAGCTAAGTGCGGTGATTGGAGCTGGAGAGCCGGGATTGATGGAAGGGGCGCGGGGCGATCGGGGGCGGCAGTGGCTGCTCCCTGCGGGCTGGCCCCTCGGGGGTCTCCCCTCACAGCCCGACCCGACCCGACCCGACCCGGCCCGGCCCGGCCCAGTCCAGCTTTCCCGTCTCAACCAGAACCGGGACGGTTCCCCGCTGCGCCCCGCCGCCGCACGGCATCACGGCTCGACCCCATAACGCCCCGGTCCCACTCCGCAGGCGCGGTCCCGCCGTCGCGCTCCGAGGTAAATGACTGGGAGCCGCGCGGCTCCCACCGAAGCGCAGGGCCGAGTGCGTGTAAACACATGAAATCAAAGGCAAACACGAGTAAGGTTTATATTACTGTATTTAGACGGTCAATAACTTAAAAATACAGCGAAATGTACATTATTTTTACATTTGGTTTGTATCTGTTAGACATTTTCCTCATGTCTAAAATTGCCAGGAGGTGACTGCACGGCGCCTGGCCTGGGGCACTCCATGCTGGGATGGGGCGTTGGGACCAACAGAGGCAGCACAGAACCAACAGTGGCAAATCTATTCCCTACCCACGCCCTGGGGAGAGCCCAGGATCTTAAAAAGTATGGTTAGAAATGGTCACCCTGAGGAACAGAACCCAGAAAGTCACATTATAAAGAACTCAAATGGTTATTTACAATCAGAAACTCAAGATTAAACTCTTTCAGAGAACAAAGCCTAGAAGTCCTAACACTAAATAAATACCAAGCCTAGCACTTGGGGAGTTCTTAAAGGTACCAAAAATCAGAAGATTTTCTCATACCTCCAGACTACACAATTCGGTAGATAAAATGATGTCCAATCACCTTAAGGCTACTATACATTTAATGCAGGAAAGTGACAGGCAGTACCTGGATGTGGGGATCTCAGCACTTAAAAACAAACAAAAAACAAAGAAAAGAAAAAAGAAAGAAGAACAAAAAAACCAACACATTAAATTAGGATTCATCCTGAAACCAGCCATACGGGATCACTTCTCAGATAATTCCTGCCCAGAGCAACACTGCAAACATCTTGTCTGCAGACACTTATAAATAATGTATTTACAGTTCAGCTGCCCCATGTTCAATGTGATAGAGCTGGTTTTATTGTACAGTCTCATTTTTCACCATTTGTTTACAATATACAAAATAGTTTTCGATCCGTTAAAAATTCGTACAAAGAACATTTGCTGAGGGCCCCACATCTCTGCCGTGGGCTGCGCTTTTCCTTTACCAGTCAAACAAATGTCCCAACTGAGAGCACTGCTGGGCAGAACGGGTGGCTCTGAAATACCTCTTGGTGTGGTAAGGATCAGCTCTGCAGCAGCAGGCCTATGTGTGCTGGGACATGCCATTCACCAGGCTCCTGAGCTGCTTCACCACAGTCTCAATCAGCTTCTGCTTGTCACGATCGTTCTTCCTGAACTGAGCAAAAATGTTGTTCTTTTTGCTAGAGTCTCTCATTCTGGAGGAAAAAAAAAAGGGGGTGAGGGGAGGGAATGGTACTGACATGTTAGAAACACCATTTGAAAAGGGAAAACCTGACTACTAAAATAGGTTTCCTTTCTACTTCAATAGGTTTCCTCTCGTTCCTTTTCTGATCTCTGTACTATAACAAACTGAAAGGTTAGGAAGTCCATTATCTGTATGTTCTTAAATTAAACCTCCGGCACTCAGAGCTCGCAGTAACAAATATTACTTCCCAAATCACATTAGGCAAATCCCACTTCAGCGCTGCTGCCCCTACAGCTGCGTAAAGAGGGAGGAAAACAAAGATCCGAGTGGAACGGTGGCTCAGGGCCGAGCTCAGGCTGCACGAACCGCCCCCGGGCTCTACTACTGAGCTTCGTTATTGATGGATTTTAAAACGAAGTTCGGAAAACGTAATAAACTGAAGAAAAAATATTCGATAAGAGCTAAGCGGTACATACCCTCTGTGCACTCTGCAAAGCGCAGATCGTCACAGGGAGGAGAGAAAAGAGAACACCGTTAGAAAAGCCCTTCAAGCCCGCGCACGCTCCCGTCCCACCGCCGCTTCCCCGCGTGTCTTCCGGCGCGGCGGCAGCTCCGGCTCCACAGCGGCTCCGCGGCTCCCGGCCCCGGGCAGCGCCGCAGCCGCCGGGAGGGCGGCCCCGTTCCCGGCTCCGCAGCCGCCCCGTCGGGGCCGGGCTGAGCCCCGCGGCCGGCACAGCGCATGCACTTACTTCTCCAGGAGCGTGAGGGCCGTGCTGGGGTTGACCCGCAGGTACTTGGAGGTGGCCTGCCCGTAGTCGGCCAGGTAGGTGGACCAGTCCCACACCATGAAGAGGTCCAAGAGCTGCGGGAGAAGAAGCGGTGAGCGGGCGGCAGCCGCCGGCCGCTCTCTCCCCGGGGCCCCCTCCTCGCCCTCCGCACGGCGGGAGGCGGCGGCTCGGGGCCAGGCCCAGCGGGGGATGCCGGCGGCCCCAGCCCGGGTGATTCGCCGCGGGGAGGGAGAAAGGGATCGCTGCTCCCGGCCACCTAAAGGAGAAGCTCAGGTAGTCTCAATTAAGTGAATTAAAGAACCCCCGCTCGGGACTCTCTGTGGTGACCGATCCCTACACCTCTGTCCCGAGCGCACTTTTGGATCGAAAAACTCAACTGCTTCAACGGTGAAAGAAGAAAAACCCTCCAAGTAGAGATAAGCACGCAGGCCCGGCCTTTTGCTCGCAGCCCCGGAGCCGCCGCTCGGCACCGCCGCCCGATGCCGGCCCGCAGCAGCAGCCGATGCCAACGGGGCACCGCCGCGTTCTCCCGCAGCCGGCGCCCGGCCTCCTCACCCCCCTCGTCCCGCGGCTGGAGGCTGCTCCGGGCTGCCCTGCGCCACAGCAGCACCGGTTTGCTGTTGGAAGGAACACCCCTCCCGTTCAGCATTTGCTTCTTCTGCCTGTAAGCCAGAGCAGGGCCGCTGCAGTAAAGACCCAAGCACCAAGCACTGCACCTTCAAACTTGCATGCTTCCGTTCTCCTCTCCTTTCTGAACCCTTAGGTTATTTTCAAATAAAGTGTCTAATTTAATTATTTTCTAATTAATATATGTAATAAAATGCTTTCTGAACACAGAGTAACACTTCCTGTGGCACAGGTACTGCAAAGTCCTTTCAAAGTCCTACAAAAACATTACAGACTTCAGCGACGTCCAGATTTTACATCTGAACACCTCACTTGGGTGAAAGGCATATAAAAAGCAGGGAGGCTGTTCCATTCTCTGCTGACTACACATCCACCATAGCTGTCAAGGTCAAATGCAATCAGTTCTTTCTCATAACTGCTTTCTCAGTATGGTCACCATCAATTTTCCTATTGATCTGTGGAGAATATGCTGTCAGTCACTAAGCAAACAGAGCTGGTGTGAGCTATCAGGCTCTGATAACCCAGGAATTAGCGGTATTTGTGAAGCCCCTGCCCTCACCACTGTGCGTTACCTATCCCTTACTACCTGTGCTGAGACAGCCAGCAGTGCCCAGTCCTCACAGAGGCTGTGCAGTAAACTCCAAACCACGATCAAATGAGCAGAAAGTGGGACAGTTGGACAGACAACATGAGCGGAAGATAAAGCTGACAGCCACAGGCACACAGGCTAATAAACTGGAGACTTCATGTTTCCTCTCTCTCACAAAGAAGCAAACAGAACGCATGAATCAATTACCACCAACTACAGAGCCACTTGCCACTTGGGATCCACATGGAGAAGGTCTTTATAAAAGGACCACACTGATGTTCTTGCAGCAGCTGTGTTCAGTAAACCAAATTTGTAGGGGTAGGAAATATCCCCATTGCAGCACTGACACTGTGGTCTTCGTACCATCGGTGTTTGAGTCACTCAGTGACAGTGAGGGTGGAAGGTCAGACCTACCGACCAAACACAGTCTGGCACGTAGGGCTCCAAAGGGGCTGCAGACACTGCAGAAGGTTGCAGGCTGCTGCTGTGCACAATTAGGTACGGTGGTTCAGTCCCCCTGACAGCCACAGTGCCGTACTGTGGCACACTGCTGCACTAATGGGCTCTGACAGCGGTACTGTACTGCAGGTGGGCAGGAACTGCTTGGTTCTCTCACGTCTGTGTTCCCCTGCATCTGATGTGATGCTCAGCAGCATACAGCCCATGTGGGCAGAAAGGCCTCTCTTAAGGTGGGATTGTCTTGAGCACACACACACGAGCTGGAAGACAGCCTATCCATCCAAAGATGCTGACAAGTGTTTGGACTACTTCATATAATTCCAGCTGGCCTACCTAATCCTGTGATAGTTAGTAGAGGGTAAAGATACCTTGATCTTTATGTACAAGACTCTTGAAAGATAACAGAAGAGCATGAAGATGCAATAAATAAATTTTTTTTACCACATGCAAACTCTAAGCTGCGTGGAATTTATCGTGAAAATTAACACTTGGCCATCTTCCTCAACAGAAGGAAAAAAACACCAAATTCTTCCCTGTATTTATGCTGTAATTTCACTTACAATAGATTTACATTGAAATGATCTTACGATGTGACAGGGACTGGGCGTGGGCAAAACCACAGGGAGAGGGAACTGCCTTTGGTGGTATTACAGCGTTCAAGGTGAAGGTATAATGGAAAGATTTTGTGGATTTGGCTTGATGTGCTGACATACTCTTATTGCAGAGATGTAACATTGGGCAGATGTTAAATTCCACTGAAATAAAAGAAGGCTGTAAATCTATGATGTTTTAAAAACTGTGATTATTACTAATGCAAAAAAAAAAAAAAAGTATTGAGGGCAAGTCTAACTGTAAAGGTATTAATTTTGCCAACATGTATCAGCTACAGTAACACAAAACAATTTGGGGATAAAAGGTGAGGTGAGCTTGTCACAAGGGCCTCTCCATTGGTCCTGTGATAGTTCTTGTTGTGGCAACCAAAATCAATCTGTTAGAGGCCAAATGAAAGCAATCACTCCCTATTGCTATTTTATCCACTAAATCTGCTATTACTGCGACAATAACTGAAAACAGGATGTGCTGTCCAGCAAGCAGTATCCCATAATGGCATGCTCTGTAGTAAGAGCATCGGCAATAAATACATTTCTGCCTTAAAATAAATCAACATCCATGCTGTAGCACAGCACACTCGCACTGCTGGCTGCTACTTCCTTGAGGTTAGAATGTGCACTGTTTGTACTTAAATTACAGTAAAAAATAACATTTTATTTTGTACATGCATCTCTTCATACTTAACATGTACAAGAAATCCTTCAAACAGGACAGAACCAAACCTTTCCCTCTGCTCTCAGGGGCAGGGCAGACCATGGGCTGTTAGCCAACCACCTGCTCACACCCAAGGATCCACCCATGTCAGAACCAACTTATACAGCTAAGACACGGTGAAGCGCCTATTAAGGCAGATATAGGTGCTCTGCTACATAAGAACAAAGGTGCTCTTGTACTCTCTTTATCCCATAACAACCATGGAAAATAAGAATAAGCTAAGACAGGCAATGCTATACCTGATAATTTTATAATGAAGCAGAATATGTTTCCCTAGGAGCATGGGAATAGTTCTTAAAGCCTTTCTGACTGCAAGCAACTAACTAGAATTTGCAGATAAGTGTGTGCATTGGTGAATCATTACCAAGAAAGAAACACAGGAAAAGCTCTACCCACACTCAAATGCAGTGTCAATCGACTGTCCCCTGCTAACATTTACAAGTAGGCAGGCTGTACACCTATTCTAAAAGTGAGACAGAAGGGGAAATTTCACCCAGCATCTTGGGAACATCAGAGCTGATGATCCCAAGGACAACATCTTCTTTTCACTGCATATTAAAGTGCTGCCCTCTCCACTACATTATTAGCCATGTATACACAGATCAATACACCTCAACTTGAGGCCTTTTGTTGACATGCTACACTTGAGTGATGCCCTACAAGCCTTGGATTTTCTAACTTTCTGTATTTGCCTACGTGCTTCCTAAATACCTTTTTACAAATCTAACATAAGCTTTCTCTGTTGGAAATAAATACCACCTCAAAAAAAAGGTGCTTATTCATACTTTTGCTTACATAAAAGTAATACTACATAATTTCTTATAATTCTATATGATCATATACTTTGTTTTACAACAGTCAATGTTGCCTTTTTCTATAAAAATTGTTTTAAACACAATGATGTTGTTGTAAAGGACACTAAATTACTTTTCAGTCAAAAGAGGTCTTACTTCAAGACTTTGATAGCTACTGGCTTTGGTTAACACAACACAACACAACACAACACAATATTGATGCCCCATGGGAAAAAATGTCTTAAGATTTAAGGGGCAGAATTCAGGTTTCAAATGGGTTGCATCTATAATTCAAGTTCAGAACTCTTCCTTCCCCCAAGGTTTCCCCAGGGTGATATGACCATCTTAGGGTAGAAATTAATGATAATCATTAGTCAGTAAAGTTTTGTTCTGTATCACCCGTACCCAAAGCCCTCAGTAGCTCACTCTTATTCCTGTATTTAGGCCATCTTGTAATTACATGAGAATTTTAGGCACTTGGTAACGGTCAGACTCACCCATCCGGCCCTTTCAGCCCTGTTTGAGCCTCTGTCACATCCTCAGATATCATACAGATGCCCTTTCCTTTTTACTTTGGGGCAACTGTCAGGAATAATCTTGGGAGATAATGCGACTTTGGGAGCCAGCTGTCCGCAGAGCCAACACCGCGGCAGAGATGGGAGATGACGATGAGGGCTTTGCAGGAGGAAATGGGGTCAGTGTCCATTCAAATTTTTCTAGACAACACACAATGTTGTCTAATTTAAAGTTCTCAAGATAGCTTAGTATGACATGGAGTGGTGCTGTTATCTCTTCTGAAGTGTCACGAGTGTCAGCAAGTAGCTCTGGCTGGGCAGCAAAGCACCCACGGATCAGGAGATGGAGATAAAAATGAGAAGTTGTGCATCTAACATCCAGCTCACCTTCCTGTAAATTCCAATATTCCACCAAAAAAAGAGTAATTTTGAATTAAAAAAAAATAATTCCGAAACACGTCACTGTTGGTTATGTCCTTCAGACCTCCTTTCCACACTCACAAGTCGAATATTTTGCATGCTGAGCAGCTTATTAACCCCTAATCACCCAGTTACTTCTGGACTCCACTGCATGTGTAATTACCTTCTCTCAGGTACAATTTGCCTGACAAAATGTCAGAACACTTGCAGCTTAGTTTGCTGAAATTGATAAATGCTGTCTTTCCACAGCCCAGGGGCATAATGAACAGGAAAAAAAGGCACTTATGGAAACACACAGAAGTGGATTCATGCCAGCAGAGCTCCAGGCCTGGGCCACATCGCGG